CTTTGATCTTAAGAAATTCTTAAGAAGCAAAATTGCTCTGCATGGTTTAGAAGGAGAAAAGTCTGTAAGTCAGACACAACACTGAAACTCATAGCTCATTTCCTAACAACTGAAAGCTGTGTATGTAGCCTGGCAGGGGTTATTTCACCACTCAACTTGACTCTTAGACTACAAAACAATTAGAAGTGAGACTCCATCTGGGGCTGAGGTGCAGCAGTAGGTGTTCTGGGAGACTCATCAAGAAGATGTGGGTTCTGAGAAGTCCTGCACCAGTCCAGTCATCTTTCTCCACACTTCATGTGCCCTGTGACAGATAGTACTGACAATTGCCTGTGTTGTCTGTACTACATGTATAAATGAACATTTTTTCTTCTTGAAAAGCAGAAGGCAAAGCAGGTATTTCTTCTCTGTTTAACACCTTCAGTATGAGTGGCTTTAGAGCTTGGAAGGTTGTAGAATTGTTTTGATACCTGCTATCCCTGGTAGTTTTCCAACAGAAGGCTGAAGATTTGCATGAGATTTTTTGCTGTAGCAAGTTAAACTTCTTTTTATTAGGACTTTGGCCTTTATTCATTTGATGTACCTTTTAAAAAAAATGTTACCTCTTTCTATGTTTTAACATTACAAACTATATGTAATAACATTTCAAAAACAAATAACTTTATCATGTGGTTTTATGTTTGCTTTTTAAAACTTCACATATATTTTTATTTTTATTGTTGATTTCATATCTCCCCCTTTAGCTCCTCCTCCACCTTCCACTCCCAAACAGCAGGAAAAGCCTGAAGGCTCCCAAGAACTCTCTCCCATTGGGTCCTACCTGGAAAGATTCACCTACTTGGAGAGTCCTTCTTATCACTTTTTTTTTTCCAGCTTTTGTTTTAAGTTCCAGGATACATGTGCATGTTTGTTACATAGTCAAACATGTGTGATGGTGGTTTGCTGCACAGATCATCCCATCCCCTAGGTATTAAGCCCAGCATCCATTAGTTATTCTTCCTGATGCTCTCCCTCCCCACCCCTGACAGGCCCCAGTGTATGTTATTCCCCTCCATGTGTTCATGTGTTCTCACCATTCAGCTATCGTTTGTAAGTGAGAACATGCAGTGTTTGGTTTTCTGTTCCTGTATTAGTTTGTTGAGGATAATGGCTTCCAACTCCATCCAGGTCCTTGTGAAAGACATGATTTTGTTCCTTTGTATGGCTGACATTTGATTTACTTCTACAATGAGCTGCAACTCACCATTATACTTAAAAAACTATAGTATTTTAATGGACAGATCATAATTATATGCATTTATGGGGTACAACATGATGTTTTGATATGTGTCAACAATGTGAAATGAGAAGTCAAGCTAATTAAAATAATTATTCTTATCCTTTTTTTTCTTCTTTTTGGTATTCGGCATGTGTCCCCAAAGCTGAGTTTGATTATATCCTTTCTCCATCCTCAAAAGGTAGCTTTTGTCTTGGAGGAGGATGAGAAGAAGTCCAACTGTATTAGTCTGCTTCCAAGCTGCTGATAAAGACATATCCAAGATTGGGAAATTTATAAAAGAAAGAGGTTTAATGGACTCATAATTCCATGTGGCTGGGGAAGTCCTCACAATCATGGTGGAAAGTACAAGGCATGTCTTACGTGGCAGCAGACAAGAGAAGAATGAGAGCCAAGCAAAAGAGGAAACTTTTTTTTGTAATCTTCCTGAGACCATTGTGACGTTTGGATTATCATCCCAGGTGGATGTGTGAGAAGCTGCAGATCAGAGAGGGGAAGTAACCTGCCTGTGCTCACACAGCACTGGAGCCCACTGAGAAGCTGGGCTTCAGATCCCATCCTGGTTCTGTGAGATCCTGAAGACTGCTCCTTTGGCAAACCCTGCCACTTGCCCTTTTCTCTTTCTCCCTTCCCTTGGTCTGTGTTTATGGTCAAAGTGATTAATTTTTACTCAAAGTGAAAAAATAACAGAATAGGAAGATACAATTCCATAAAGAACTATACATATCAATGCAATTGCTAGAAAATAGCTGCTGCTCTACCCAGCCCCTGGGGTGCTTCTCCCCTGCCTGTCATTTGCAGCAGAACCTGTGATTTTAAAACAAGTTCTGAATCCCTCGAGGAAGCATCAGAGATGAGAAGGATTGAAGGCTTTAGTGCCAGAGATGAGAAGGATTGAAGGCTTCAGTGCCCCCCTCCAGCTTCCCTCAACCCAGCCCCCACCACACTGACAGATCTGTCCCCAGCAGAAAAGCTGAAGTCAAGGGTAGGGGGACCTCAGGGGAAGGTGATCCCAACCCCCTCCCCAACCCCAAAAAAAGCCATCACATTTAGTGACACATATTCATTACCATGAGAACAGTACGGAGGAAACTGCTCCCATGATTCAATTAACTCCCCCTGGGTCCCTCCCAAAAAATGAGGTAATTATGGGAGCTACAATTTAAGATGAGTTGGGTACAATTTAAGATGGGTATACAGCCAAACTGTACCATTCACTTCCTGTGACATTATTACCTACCTGTCTTTTTTGGATTCTAAAGAGGAAGGGAAGATGTACTGTACTCTGTACACTCATAGTCACTTAGGCTTCTGTCATTGATAACAGGACTGCATCTGAACAGTGCCTGGCACATTAGGTATGCATTTGATCAATATTTCTTGAATGAATGAATAAACATTAGTATTTTAGAGCAAATCTTAGTATTTGGGTTCCTTCTGAGTCAAAATTATCCTATCACTTACATTCAACAAAATTCCTAAAAGTACTTGATAAAAAATAAAACAATTTATGTGCCAGGTAAGTTCTCAGTAGACCTCTTCTGCGGGAAATATGGTTATCAAGACTATATAATTTTTATGCTATATTATATTGTAACAACATATATTCTTTTTTGTTTTAGAAAGCATTAGCTTTTTATAGTGAAAATCAAAATTGTGTATTGATAGGCCTTGGTTTTTAGATCAATTAAAGTATGTTAATAAAGTTATTTATATTGGATTCTATGTTGAAGATACAGAATTTCTCAGTTTTTCAGTCCAATTTGACAGATGGAAATTTAATTTTTAAAACTATGATTTAATTATACTTTTAGAATGAAAGTAAAATGTGGTTTCCTCATATCTTTAATCTACACACATATATATATGTATGCTTATTACTCAGGAATAAGGTCTTAGGAATATTAAAACATGTTTTTATGAGCAATCAGTAGGCTATGGAAATTGGTATGATAACAGTGTAAGCTAATTACATTTTAATAAGCAAAGGCAATAGAAATTAGAATTAATCTGCTTAATAACATAAACATATGAATAAAAAGTTTTATTTCAAAGGTAATAAGGGAAAATTAAAGCAATTCTTCTACCTAATAAAATATCAGTCAAAAATATTAAAATAATTTAGAAATTACATTATTTGAATGTGGGGGAAAATACAGTAAGTGATAGTATATGGTCACTTATTTCTAAAGAAAATATAAAATGGTTGAAACATTTAAAAAATATAGTTGTGATATTTGATTAAATATTTGGGCTAAATCCACAACCTTGCCTTTACTTCCTCCTGGATCCCACCTAAAATGACAATAAAAGTTTTTTTTTTTTTTTTTTTTTTTTGTGTGTGTGAAGGGTTTTTGTTTGTTTAATACATCTGAAAAGAATGCATATACAAAGAATTGCGACATGAGAAAGCATTGGTTCAACACTAATGAATCTACAAGAATTAGGATTGGGAAGGTGGGAACGATTACCTCAACATTTTTAAAAACTGGAAACTGCAACCAAAATAAGCTGATAAAATCCCTATTAACACTTATGAAGAGTCTTCATAAGACTCTTTCCATGATTTTATTAAGCTAGAGAGCCTCACTTGGCTGCTCTAGGGTTCCTCATATGTAAAACAAAAATAAGAGGATTCCCCTGACTGGTCCCCATGTTGTTAAGGGTTCTCCCCACCCCCACCCTACCCCCAGCTTCTTAATGAAGCAGGCCTCCATCCTCTTGAGAGGATGTGAATCATTCCACAGATGTCTGTCTTCTAGCACCACCCCTCGTATTTCCTCTACATACCAGGTCTTCAGCTGCATTCTAGGAACACCATATACTACTGAGTTGCAAGTCAATGCTAAGCATATAAGACAATGACTGACAGGGAAAAAAAAATTTTAATTACAAACTCAATTCATTTGGTGTATTTCGAAGGTGCAATACTTTTCTTCATTTATCAGTGAAAGAAGTTAGAAACTAACTTCCCCAAAAAATCAGCAATGGCAAACAAATGTCCTTGAAAGTCACAGTCATATATAGTGCGTCCTAGAAAAGAGGAGGGGCAAGACAGGCTCCACCCACTTTCATGAGTTTCATCAAATACTGGATCTACTCAAGGGTGGAGAGAAAAGGCAACTTTCAAAAACGAGTATGTTACTAAATGAGGCACTTACTATACTCCTTCCTAAGAGCACCAAGATGGGGAACATGTTTTCTAAACTAGATCTAGGAAGTGGAATGTGGAATCAATCCGTCCTCCTCCCCTTAAGGGCTAACCACTGGTTAATGAATTAAAAAAACAAGACTAAAAAACAAACCCCACACACACTCCCCCCAAAAAAAGAGAAGGGGAAAAAAAAACCACTAAGATGTCCCAGATTACTCTCCAGAGTGGAACCAGGGAGCAGCTTCAACAATTCCAATTAGTCTGTTACAGAGTCATCTACAAGCTGCCTTGCTTTAAAAAAAAAACAAACTTTTTTTTAAACAACGAAACAAAAACTAGTACTAATCACTTTTCTGACAATATACAATTACTCAAAATTAACTAGTACTGGGAGGGGAAGAGGGGGTCCATACCTATGGGGCTTGTCTCACACGAGTGCATGTGGGTAGGTGCAGGGCATTTGTCATTATTGCAAAAACGAATTTTAATTTTTAATCTTTAGTTTGATTTAAACATTGCTTTTAGTATGACGCTGACACCAGCTGTGCAGAAAGGGCTCTGAAGAGATGTTCATAGCAGCACACACCTGCGGCTCTTCTTCGGATCTGGAGGCTCCAGGGCAGCAAATATTGCTTCGTCAAATACATTCTTTAGGCCTTTCTGTGTGAGTGCAGAACACTTCACATACTTGACAGCCTTCAGGTCACGGGCCAGCTTTTCAGCAGTCTCTGGTGTGATAGGCTTCTGTTTGTTCTTGTCAGGTTTCTCAATAGTAGAGGAGTCATCTCTGAGATCAATTTGGGTCCCAACAAGCAAGAAAGGAGTCTTTGGACAGTGGTGAGTTATCTCAGGCACCCACTTTTCTTTCACATTTTCAAATGAAGATGGAGAAACCACTGAAAAACAGACTAGAAATACATCTGTTTGTGGATAACTCAGCGGTCGTAATCTGTCATAATCCTCTTGCCCTGCAGTATCAAAAAGTCCAAGAATGTATGGTTCTCCACCAATCATAACTGTGACTGCATAGTTTTCAAAAACAGTCGGTACATATTCCGATGGAAATTTATTTCTTGTGTAGGGTATCAGGAGACATGTTTTACCAACAGCACCATCGCCCACAACAGCACACTTAATTGTCTGCATTGCTGAAATAGTTTTGTATCCACTTTAAGTATTTCAAATCTGATGTTAATCTCAGCTTCTCCACCGGGGCGTTGGCAGCACTGCGCGGGGTCTCCCCGGCTGCCGGACAGGGGCGCCAAGTTTTTGTTTTTTAAATTGTAAAACCACCAGGATGTAGAGAATAGGAGAAGTGGTGACAAGAGTTGGAAGGTGGAAAGCAGATGTTTGAGGGGCCACCGAATCAGAATAAATAAATCAGGAAACTATGGGTTCTGGATGGGTTAGGGTGGAAGAGTAGGGAAGAAGCCATTTGATTGCACGACTTCAGAAAGGATCAGAAATGGAAAGCCCTAGGAACCCGCACAGGGTGGGTGAGGCTTAGAACTGAGTTTGGTTGAAAATCTATTAAGAAACAGCTAGATTCCTGGACCAGCCCCTCCCTTCCTCTTGGGTCTGGTCTGGCAACCTTTCCCTCACTATCCCTCCCCAGCTCTGCCAGAAGACCAAAAGTTTATTCTCTGGAGAGCTGAACCAGGCACTGTGGCCTTGGGCTATTACACATAGCTAAGGAGGAATGCTAAAAACAGAGGCACTACAATAATATCTACATAGAGAAAGGGGAGATTTCCTCAGTTTGAGCTCCTCTGTCCATCATGGACCTACTCCATTCACTCATTCAACTCTTGGAACACTCCTGAATTTCTATGTAGAGAAAATCCTGCTCAAGGGAACATAACTACTGATACTTACAGGAGGAGTCCATCTCAGCAATTGTGAAGTTCCTGCCAGATCACCTAGCAGAAAGTTTGCCAGAAGACTATCTCTGACCACGAACACCAAGCTTCAGAACTTGTTTTTCAATGCTCATTCTGCAATTTGAAAGCATACTCAAGGACCACCAGACACAGTCCTAAAACAAACAGAAAAAAAGGAACCCAATGACAAAAAGACAATCTAGGAACCATAAAAGTAGGAAATAAAATTCAAAAATTAATACAGTCAGATTAAAGAAGATATTGTGTCCTTAAAACGAGAACAGGGTGCTATATCAGGAACAAGAATGAGGATAGAACCAGAACTGTTTTCCATTTTAAGTATTAAAATTAACTTGACTTTTAAAACTATGTATAATTTACATTTATTAGATTGAGAGTTAAGTTACAAAAATCAGTGATTATTTATTTATTCATATACTGCTTATCATCCATAATCATTCTTTCTCAGAGGAGTGTCTTAATTTTTTTTATTTTTTCTTATAGTGGGGAAAGATGTTCTTTTCTGTTCTCAGCTGTCATTGTTTGAATAACTTTGGTTCCAATTCTAGGTTCAGAGATAAATCCTGATTGGCTTAAACCAATCAGCAATCAGCAATCAGCAAATATCATCCAACTGCTGTAACAACTAGCTTGGAGTATGAGTGGGTAATATAGCCCAATCAAAGCCAGAAAAATACAAGGAGATGCTTGCTAGGCATCTGAGAAGAAACCTTTCATCTGTGGTATCTACCAGAAGGTACGCTCTCTTCTTTAGGATGATGTGAGGAGAGACTGTGAGATCTGGAACTTGTACAAGAATTATGCTACTACTAGGAAAATTGGCCACAGGATGGCACAATTACTACATAAGGCACACTAAACTGAATAAAAGAAAGTGGCTATTTGGTAATATTGTTTGGGCTAGTGGATCAAATTTTCTCTGAATACCTCAGTTTTATGAGCTAAAAGATTCACTTTAATGCTTCATCTGGTTTAAATTATTTTTTCTGCCATTAAAATAAAAGATTCCTCAGTCTAAATTTAATCTTGTAATACATACCAAGAATCACAAAAATGTGACTCATTTTGAATAAGTTGTCTTAATTCCCAGGAGGATGTTAATTGCCTATTACCAAACAAGGAATTACTATAAAATGTTGTGGCTTGAAACAAAAATAGAAAAAAAATGATTAAATAAATTAAGGTATGGTCAATTGGTCTATTAAGATAGAAGATGATAATATATAATGCACTCAAGGGAATTTGACAATCTACACATTCTGGTATTCAAGAAACACAATTTTCATCATCATTCCATAACTATTTTTACTTTATGCTCTCTTTTTTTCTCTGAGGGAAAAAAATCAATTGAAGTTCCTTTTCTTCCCCCACCCCCCGATTTTTGTCTAAGTTCTACAGAACTTGACTGATGTCAGAGCACTGGGGACATCTGATCCTTGATCTCACCATACTAGAACTCTGAAAATATCTATCAGATATATCAGATCCCCAGTTGTCAAATCACAAATGAGTTGCTGTTGATTTCTGTTTATTCCTATCTTCAAGATCTATTAGGTCCGATGATTCTGATAAGCTACCCTTGTTTAGATGAAGATTGTTCTGTTGCTCCCATCCTCAATATTGCATAGGAAGCTGCAGCACTCAAATGTCTACCTGGAAGCCCCCATGACCCTATTTCCTTAAGTTTCTGCCTGCCAACCAAGATCTTGAACAAAAGATGGTTAGAAGATCTCTGCTTTTGGTGTCTCCTAACCTGGGTGAAAACTGTGATGTATCTCGGGCTTTGTCTATAAGCCATTCTGAAGACTCACTCATGATTTTGGTCTTATCACTTCTGCTTCAACTTCCTTCTGCTGTCACATTTTTTTTCTGAGGTTTGAGAATCTAACAACCTACCTGCCTGGGAGAAAGAAATGGTTAGAGATATGGGGAAAAGAATATTAGGTAAAAAGCTAGACAACATTTAAAAAATATTGTCTCATCACATACAGCTAAGGAAAATTTCTAACAAGAAGGTTGGATGTGGATAAAACAGATTAAATTCATGTTAGAAGTATGAGGAGAACTTATTTGCTAACATATTGCAACAGACTCTTTGGTCTTCTCCACAGCCCAGTCTCTGTTCTTCCCATATAATGTCCAGTGTATTTCTGAAAGAAAAACCAGACTTTCAGGAGCAAACAAAATAGGCTTAATCCCTGTTAGTATCTTGTGCTGAAAAACAAGAATTGCTTCTCTTCCTATTCAATCTGGAGAGAGAAGATAAAAAGCTAGGAAGGCCGGGTGGAAGGAGGTGAAAGGGTTCATGCTTGGCAGGTTGCGGTGGCTGAATATTATTTATCTTTTCAATCTTTCCTGCACACTTTACTCAGTTCTTCCTCTTTGCCTCCTGATAAAAGAAAAACTTCAGCTGAATGAAATTTAAAGCAGTTTATTGAGCAATGAAAGATTCATGAATTGAGTTGCTTCTTGAGCCAGAGTGGGCTCAGAGACTCCAGCACAGCCATGTGGTTGAAGAAGATTCATGAGCAGAGAAAGGAAAGTGAGGTACAGAAAACAAAAGTGAGGTACAGAAACAACTAAATTGGTTACAGCTTGGCATTTACCTTACTTGAACACAGCTCAGTTATTTATACTTGATTGGCCAAAACTCAGTGACTGGCACAAGTGTAGGCAATGGTCTATTTACACCTCCACTCTTTATAGTTCACAATGTACAGAAAAACCTTTAGGCTGAACTTAAAATATGTAAAGAGGCAGCTTTAGGCTAAACTTGATTTAACAATTCCCGTCTTTTTTTTATCGTCTCAGTTTTGAGAGCTTGAAACTTGAGTCATTGATGTCATTGTCACCATTGTAAATGTACTTATTTGGCATTGAAACCCACTGGAAAACAGTAGAAGAGTGGGTTTTATGAAGTAGGAACAAGGATTCAGTAGAGGGTTCCTCCTTATGCTGGAATGTCCTGTTTACATGAAAAAAACAAACAAACAAACAAACAAAAAACAAAAAACAAAACCTTGTCTGTTCAAGAATCTGTGTTTCCTTAAAGTCTTAGTTTGATTATGTCACATTTAGCATTAGTGACTCCATTTGTTTGGTCTGGTTTCTTGGCACCTACTGCATGAGCTTAGTCCAAAACAACGGCCTCCCATAATTTTGTTTAAAAATTCTCCCTTTTTGGTCAGGTTTTAATTTAGGTGAGAGTGTGACAAAACTTAGGGCCTTAGCTCCACTCTCAGTTACTGTCATTTTGGGTTTCTGGTCTCAGCGTGTCATTCATAGGTTACAGTGTCCTCATGGTCACACACTTCTGTCAGTTCTTCTCATTCCAGTTAAAGAGACATTCCAGAGATGGCTGCATGCAAACATTTAAAACTTTCGAGAGAATATAGCACACAGGGAAACTGCTATTAGGACTATCAGGAGGGTAATGCTAAGAGTTTGGAGTATGCTTCTTACCCAGGGTCCCCATAAAACAAACTACCTGAAATCAAATAGACCAAAGAATGAGCTAGATAGAGTTTACTCAAGTAAGCGGTTTCTTCATTAATCCTCTACAACTAAATCGCTATAATCTACATTTGATGTATTTCTCCATAGGTCACAAGTGCTGTAAGCTGCACAGATACTTCTGTTTAGCCAGTAAGTAATCTAGAGCTATCCTATTATGTAGCATAACTTTCATGAGAGAATGTAAAGTATGTTGTATAATGACATCCTTTACAGTAGAATCTTCTATAGAGCCTATCATGAGGGATACTTTTTTAAATCATTGCCTTTTTTACTTCAAATAATGGGAAAAAGGACTTAACAAATGATGCCCTTCTAGAAGAGTGAAGGCCTCCTGGCAAAGTTCTCTTTAATCCATGATGTAGGTCAGGCGTCCCCAAACTTTTTACGCAGGGGGCAAGTTCACTGTCCCTCAGACCTTTGGAGGGCTGCCACATACTGTGCTCCTCTCACTGACCACCAATGAAAGAGGTGCCCCTTCCTGAAGTGCGGCGGCGGGCCGGACAAATGGCCTTGGGGGCCGCATGTGGCCTGTGGGCTGTAGTTTGGGGATGCCTGATGTAGGTTAAGAGGAGTGAACCAATGTTCTATTTCTCACTAATTATGAGGCAAAGTATGTACCATTAACATTTCTCACCTATATTGGGGCCTTTATCTTTTATCTGTCAAGATATAAGGTTATCCATGTATAAGGCTGGGGGTTCAATACATGTTTATTTCTTTCCCCTGCACTGAAATTTCCCCCTTTGTTAATTGGGAAAGATTGATGCTTTCTCTTCTTTACATATATATATATAACTTTAGATTCTGAGGTACATGTG